TACACATCCTCTTTATGAGATACACGCGCCAGATCAAATACTGTCGGAGAACCGACAACATGCGTGTACGTTGTTGCTACTCACTCGAGAGAAGCATTAATTATCGGGACCCGCCAGTTGCAAAACTAGGTTCAGTTCATCCTATCAACACCACTGCGAGACTCACGGCCAAGTCAGTTGTCCAAGCAAGGAAAGAAACACACGTCCCTAGAAAAAGCAGAACATGAGACAGCATCAACATTCTCTAGTTTTCATATGCTCCAATGTAACTGAATCCGGGGCGAACTCCATAAAAGTGAAGCTAGGTTAGGACAGGAAACTGTGGGACTGACTGAGTCAACTGATATGAGTTCAACTTAAGCTATCCATTATGGTGCGCCTCATACGTCACCCAAGCTCCGTATACTACGGTGAACCGCTGTTACTCTAGGCAACGCTTCAGTCAGGTACTGCTGTAGAGGCGATTCTCGTGTCAGCCACCCGCCTCTGTATCTAGCCATGTACAGTTCCGAACTTCCCAGATGTTTCTTGAAACGAATGTCAGAAACGACAACAAAATTCAGATGTTTTTCGTATACAAAAAGACATAACATCTATCCTTTTCCACCGTGCTCCGTAGCTCCAGACATTAAGCGAGCTAGACGCTAAAGCGCATGTCTGAAATGTATGGCTTATTTTCATGGAGTTCTGTCAATCGAAAACGATGTTTTTAATTCTACATCAAGGTAACTACCGAGTGGCGGCCAGACCGCTTCACTAATATTTCATTCACACTTTTCGGAGTGAATTATCATCTCACACGCCTTTTACGCAGCTCCCATCGCCTTTATGGTTGAACCACGCCTGGTTCACGTAGCCAGTGGGAAGAAAAGGATATTGTGCCTGCGTGCACGCAGTTCTCCTGGCGTGAACGACATCAGAGAGAAGGCATTGAAGACAACCGCCGGCAACTTTGTCAAACCATTATGTCGGTGCATTCAACATTGCTTCGATGAAATGCAGGTTCCCACAATGTGGGAACACGGAATAGTCACTCTTATTTATAAGTGGGAGAATCATGCGAAGCCTTCGACCTACCGTTCAATCACACTTCTCTCAGTGTTCTCCAAAATAATGGAAGGTATAATTGCAGAGACGTGTCGGGATACCTTGCGATGAAGCATATCTTTGTGGCAGAGCAGCATGGATTGCACCGAAATCGGTCTTGCACTACAAACTTACTTGTAGCGGGATCAAGCTAGACAGAACTAGTCGATGCCAGAGTAGGAGTTGACGTCATCTACTCAGACTACTTCATTGTTCGATCAGTTCGACCACCGCATTCTCCTTCACAAGCTTTGTGGCATTGGAATCAATTACCCTTTCCTGGCTTGAATAAGCAACTTTCGCACTCAACGTCAGCTGCCTGTGAGATTCCAGAGCTGCATTTTGGATCCAATTGACGTCCAGTATGGCGTGCCCCATGGATCGGAACTGGGCCACGTTTATGCTTAGCATTTCTTAACAACCGTCCTAGTGTACTTCAGTCGAATTTCTTGTTATTTGCAGATGATATCAAAGTATGGCATAACGTATAGCCTGTGGATTATAACATCGCTCCACAGATCCATCACGATAGCGCTTATACGTGTTTAATTGAAAACTGGCTTCTGCTTAACTTGAGGAAATACCAAATACTGAGCCTATCCCATCAGCTTACTAATGCATATCCAGTTGGCAACTAGCATTTGGAACGTGCTTTCAAGGAAATCGACGTCGAATTGATCGTGCAAGAGGATCTTGGCTTCTGAACGCAGGCTGAAAAGGCATGGAATATATAGCCAGTAAATACATTGGTTTCTTTCGGGGGGTTTGAAAAATTTCGAGCTATCAAGCTTTTTGCATATGCTGTGTATCTACGTGTGGCGCAAGATGAAATATAACATACAGGCCTGGCGTTCCAGGCGCAAGCGATATGCGCAAAGCTCCTCAATATAGAGATACCAAACACGTTAGAGTATTGGGTTTTGCCCGCCTGATACCACGGCACTCCATGCCCCTTTTCGAGGTTATTTCCTTTAATCAAATAGAGTTAGCAGGCATCGAAAACGGGGTCATGGGGACGTTCGTTGTGACCGCTACCCCTATGCCGCCGGGTCATGACGGGCAAAGCTTGGCACAACGGCTAATTACAGATTGGAAGTCAGTTTGAAGTACACGTTGTGTGGCCTAGGGGTTCGATGCCTGCTATCTTGATCCGTTGAGAGGGAATAACCTCGAGACACATCATGGATCGTAGTGGTTTCAGGCTGGCAACACCCAATTTACTACTGCTTCATCAGCTACGGTCCTAGTGATCGAATGGCCAAGGTCCACTTCAATGGAACTCGCGGTCCACTTTGAGATTGCGCGTCGCAATCCATCCACACAACGTGTACTTCAAACTGACTTTTCAATACGTTAGAGGTTGGTTTTGCTTTCCCAATTGAAGCAGGCTGCATGCGCTGAGATTGTACAGTGGTAAATGTCAACATCTATGTGAACATCTTATGCTGATTTGCCTAATACAGATAAACCCAATCTGCCATTTCGTAATTGTTTAGTTGAGCCGAAATAACGAACTGAGAAGCTATCTGTTCAAACTAGCCACGTAATAAATTAGACTTGCTGGCTGATGAAATGCTTCGCTCCTCCGGTTGTTCCGAAGTTGCAACCCTCTTCCGATTCATCTCATCCTCTCTCCCACATTAATGCTTTTCAAAGAAAAGCGCCTTGATGACCACTTTTCCACTTGCATTGCTTGATATAGTCTGTCGCACTCGGAGGACCAAATAACGAGCAAAATAGTATATGCTTAGCAGCCCTGTCCACAAGTTTGCGGTGGTGAGACATATATAAGTGTCTTTGAATAGCTGAGATGTACCAAAACCGGAGTTACCGATCACATCGATCAACTAAAGCGGTATATGTGTGAGTGATGCTAGTTTCGTACTTTTTAATGCCTACCGGAGTACAGCTATCATGTGCATACACATCACGTTCCCACTTCTAACTGTGTTCATGCAACGGTGCTGTTAATTCGGTGGACGCCCCAAATGAATATTTTTAATCTAATGCCTCGTTAATTTCAATTTTAACATTAACCATTCTGGAGGACTTGTCAGGCACATGTTTTTTTATCACTGAGAAATCATTCTTCATTGTTCAATAAAATTATAGTTTTTTACCCAACTATTAGAACGTAAATAGCCGGGTACTCTCCCATGTTGCCTTCATGTAAATGGAACAAAATAAACTCCGTCTTCGCGCTTAACAACAGTATCTGAAAGAATTCTGCTGAAGTGACTGTTGTTTGGCGGAACTCAGATACTGGTTTCTAAGAGAATCAATAGGAAGCGCTATGGTTACTAATTATGCCGAAGTGGAAAAGTTGCCGACCCAACGTTTTGTAAAGCGCTGCAATGAACTAGAAGCCAATTAGCGAAAGCATAGACCAAGCTTAAATGCGACTAACAAGGAGTTCGTACGTGCCACTACTGGACGATCGGAAGATGCAAAATAGATAACATCCAACGTCACAAAAGACTAAAAGCGAAAAAGTTTTCTTTTCACTAAGTTGTCTGGGCGCTCTTAGTGATTGTTTATATACTCCTGACAGTCTCATGTAAACACATTTATGAAGAAGTTCGGTTACTTAAATAGTCACCTCCAGCGCAAAGCTTATGAATGCATTTGTCTTTGTCGCGAATACCGTTTACGTCAGGCAGAAATCAGTTCCCAAAATTGTCACTGCAAAGTACGTTGAAACAGTTTTAGACAACCAAAAGTCTTCTCAAACGTAACATAAATAAATAAATAAATTTGTATATTTACCGAAAGACGGTACACGGCCCAGTAAGTGGGAGCGATCATGTACCACTGTGAAAGTCTCTGGGACAGCCGCTCGTTTACTCATTCTGACTGAAGCAGGGTATCATTGAAACGATTTATAGGTAAATTCCGATGGTGCTAAAGATGCTTAAGCAAATTTAAGCACATATTTAGACGGACTATACAATTTCATTTATTAAATATCTCTTTCTTCTGTTTGAGCAAATACTCCCCCTAATGGGACGGCTGGCGGTCTAGGTTACAACCTCCGTGGCCTGTTTAAAACACCGTTCTTAGATGTTTATGACTTAGCCGCCTATGCTGACCGAATATCACTGTGATTGATCTTACAACTTGAGTGGTTATTAGTTTAACTCCTCTAGTTCAACATTGTCCTAAAATAAGCCCACAAAATACTGGTGTCACTATAGGTTTTCCCAGTTAATTTGGTTCATAGCGCTTTCGAATTCCTCATTAAGGAATTCCTATTCATTCAGATTCACTGAGATAGTCCTCAACACTATCAGCTGCATACAACAAGTGGAAATGCTCCCAGATCCTAGGGTTATTCAATTGACCAATCCAAACTCTGTCAATGCATTCCACTGTGTACTCATCCGCCAGGATAGCGTGTCATTTGGGATTAGTCGCTCAACGAACAGTACACCATTTTCGGAAAATTTGGGTCCTTTCCATGTTACTTGTTTGCGTTAAGTAGTAACTTGAGTACTCTAGAATGAAACACATGTCGCTACAGAGAATTTTGAAAGCTCCATGGGCCTGATTGACTACCGAATGATGCAGCTCATCACCATGCCTTAGTGGGGAGCAAGTGTGTGTCCGTTGAAGCCCAGTTGTTAGTCAGTTTACATCGCGGTGGAGTATCAGTTAGTTTCAGTAGTGCTTCATGGCAACAGCTTCATTTTCTATTACAGTGCAACTGGCACTAGAATGTAACCTGGTCACAGATGCAGTATTAGTTGTGGTAGATATGGAATATTTCATCCTTAGAACAAACTAAACGACATTTATGCTGGTTTCTTTAACAGTCCAACTGTACTAATTTTGTCCTTGTTCTGCGTTCGATTTCCTATGAAGCGCTTTTTAACGATATTTTTTACTGGTCAATATCAATTTGGGATATCTTACAGTTTCAAGAGGCGTCAAAGGAGTGCAAATTGAACGGGTTGCCAACCTTCGTTGTTTTCAAGGACGGAGAAGTGAAACATACCGTCGTCGGTGCCGACATCAAATCACTTAAAGAAGCCATTGAATGTTTTCTATAAGCAGTAATATTCAAATGAACAACTGTATTTTTGAGTAATAAAGGATTATACTGGAAGCATGTTTTGCCAGATCTCTACCTGCACATAACTGTAGAAGCAGAATACATTTAACCAGCAAGCCAGCCACTGATACACATGCGTTATTTTGCTTAATTCAATGCAATAGGTTTTTTCCTAACACAGAGATTTATTCTTAACAAATCTAGTTGATTTTGCCATATAAAATTGAAAACGTTTAATGGTTTGTGCGTACATTAACAAGATTTCTCTAAGGATAAAGCAAACAAGCACCAAACATTGTCGCCCTGGATTTGATAACACAATGAACAATTAAAAATGACAATTTCTTTCAAGAAGTTTTGCAAGTAGAGCTATTTTTTGCATTAGTAAATAAATTTAGCTGATTTTACAGTGATACTACATCCACATCGGATGCATATGTTAGCTTGTAGTAATATGGTGGTTAAGGGACTAACCATAAATAAGACAGAAAATGGAAGTGAACGGTACCAAACTTGGCGAGGGTGTAAACATTTAAACAAAGGTGCATCCGTCAAATATTTTGCATGAAGACGCAAAAGCTCGCAAGCTAACCAACGTCACAAATTGTAATGACGAGCAACTAGGCGTGGTTGACAGCTAAATGTAAAAATAGAGCAGAAGTATAATGATTCGCATAAACAGTCTGAATCCTCAGAATGCCTTTGCTTATCCAACCAGCCTTTCAGTTGTGTCCTTCACGACAGAATGCAATCACCTCTTACTAAACGAAGATTTAGATAATTGGAAATAAAAACACACAGTTAAGACTGAACAACCTTTAAACCTTATTTACTGCAGTCTGAGGCTATTTTTCTCATGACTTACAATGATTGAATCACGAAAGCGTTGGCTGGAAAAATCCCAGTGCTTTGTTTATTTCTTTCTAAACTAGAAACCGCTTTACAAACATTAGCCGGGATTCTGTATCTTAAATCGAGTTCCAACATCCTAGTTGTTAACAAACATCAGCCTAAATCCCATTAAGCACCTATTGCCGCATCCTTACTTTTCTGTGCCGTCTTTACGGTTACAGAACTTCAACTTTTACTGAACTGTTTCAACCAAGCATAACAGCTGATGTCTGAAACCTGCATAATAAGGTGTAACTTAATTTCGCATCATCTGTACAGGAAACACACTGCTGCCTTCCTGACTTTACGTAATATTTAATCTGAGATAATACAAGTCGATCTCGTGCACCTGAGGCTATCAATATATGCACGAACTATATCAATACTTTATTCAGCCACCTTTATATTTCGCGCGTAATTACAAGTTTTTACAGAGATCCGTCGCTTTATAAGTTTACAGAAGCATGCAATCTTTTACAATAAAAATGACCTCTCAGGTTTACTTAAGTCCCTACCATTTTTAACCAACTGATTAAGGAGTAACATATGTACGTTTTAATTTCTTCATATTGAGATTTTCCCTTCTAGGTTTGGTGTAGCAATTGTCTCATTCAACATACTATTCGAAATCCTTTCAAATTTACGACAAGTGAACCATTTTGAACCAGCAGGTTGAGACCAAGACCTGGTTCTGTTGTTCAGCACGATATAAATTCCATTCAACGTCAACCTACGTGATTGGCGTGACAGCTGCGACAAGAAGGAGAAATGTAATTCAGACAAATGGTAGCGAATTGGAATGCCAGTTAGCCACGGCTTGATAAGCGTAGCGTACCACTCACTGGGTGTATGTGTCCATTAAACGACTGGAAAATGTAAATGTCCAAAGAAATAACGTATATTGTTTCTATAAACTGAAAATGCAAACGCCTCAGAATCAGTACAGGGGACGCGTTCTATTAGAGTAAGTATTAGTATGCAGAGAAAGAGTTATCACTGCAAAAATAGTTAGGGTCAGAAGGCAGTCGACTTAGGCAAGGGACAATTACTGACCTGTGGTAAGCTCCCGACTTCGAACGACTGCCAGTCTAGTGGTAAAATCCTATGTGCAGCAAAGCACGATCAGTATGATAGTTCCTGGTCTTTTTAGTGATCACCACGCCCAACACAGACAAGGAATACGCACGCAACAGACCTCAGGGGCTGTACAGAATCCGATTCGAAGAGGAATGTATTAAACGAGTTAGTTAAAGCCAACTCTACAATAATGAAGCGAATAAGACTAAGAAATTGAAATCGTAAAGAATAAATTACGAACGCTTAAAGTGGTTTGTACTTTTTGGGTCAGATGGAAAGAGAAGGATTGTGAACTGGTGAAAATAAATAACCGGTCGGTTGAAGATAGTTTTCAAAATTTGGCTCTTTGCCAGCATTTTGATTACGGGCTAGTCTATTAACTTTTATTTATTTTGTTGGGACAGGGTTGCATTTAATGGAGGTACAAAAAGCATATATTCCATGTCGCTTGTTTCATGCCTGGTTTTAATCAGAAATTGTGTAGAGCGTCGTTCAGTATGCACGTTATGCCACACGACTTTGTGTAGGAAACGAAGATTTAAATGCAATCTACACAGCCAAAGAGGCTCAGGTTTTATTTCATTGCATCAATAGTTATAAGGAACATGTGTGCAGAAAAGAAAGATGCGTTGGTGAAGGTGGGTTGAATATTTTCTATGACCTTCAAGTCACATGTACGTAAATTGCTGAAATCAACACTGCAGTATTCTAACAAGGGCTTTACGTTGATCTTCCATGCACCGAGCTATTTCTTTTTTAGCGTTAGTAACTGTCTAATATGTCCCGATACTTGAAATACCTAAGAAAAAGTCTAGTTCGCATGTTTGCTGAAAAGGTAAGAGCTGGAATGTCGCAGTCCTAAATCTCTAGCAGTAGTGCACGCTGGAATCAGGTCGCCATGAATTAGAAACAATCCTGCCTCAATATGACATCCATAATGCATGATATTGCTTTTTGGTGTGGAGAAGTGCACCTGCCATTTTGTAGCTAAGCACATTATGCTTTGTAGCTCACATGTAATATTTGCTATCTCCGTTTTGTATTGGGGTGAATGGAATGTAGATACTACCTTCAAATCATCTGCAAACAAGTATGAGCTTCCTAAGCGTAAGGCAGGTATATTATCGTTTAGGTGCAATAAGAAAATATGAGGACTTAAGACGCAACCTTGAACGACATCATTAACGACTTCCTCGGGCGTAGACATGAACACCTTTAGATTCAGTGACTGGGAGGGTTTAGTCAGATAGAATTTCAACAAAGAGAGAGACGGATTTGATTTGCCGAAGCTACTATGTTCCGATAATAACCTGTTGTGCGGGACTTGATCGAATATCTGCATGTCAAGATATGAGACTGCATTTATGACCAGTCACACCCTCCGTGGAGATTACTTTATAAATCAGTTTGGCACGTTATGCACGAACGCGACTTTGAAAAGCCGTACTGTGAAGACTAAAAAAAGCTGTGCTATAAGAGGAAAGAAGTGAGTTGTTCCTTTACTATTCTCTCCAAGAAACGTGATAAGAAGGAGTTGTGACTAATGAGTGATAATTGTGAAAATGTGTTTTAATTCAAGGCTCCTATCGCGGTAGGGCTGCAGACTCCTTTCAACTAGCAGGATACTACCCTGACTGTAAGGACAGGGAAACATATTCAGTAATACTATCGTTATATCTTTACTACCACGCTTGATTACGGCTGCAGCGATACCATCTTGACTAGGGTTATGAGATTGCCGAGACATGTTAATCAAATGTTTAATGACTCCGATGTTGAATTTTGAAAACCAGGCTGCACACTGACCTTTATCCAGTGTCTGTCGGTTGCTTGGGGTTAAGGCGGTTTAGGCGGACCAGGAGGACACGTGGTTTTGGAGTGTGCGGTGCTCCGGAGCCCATCACCTTCGGAAGTTCCTGTGTAGATGCAACATTAGTAGCTAGTAGCGGGTCACTTAAATAAGGAACGTTAAAGCGCTATATGGATACCATTGTTCTATTAGTAATAGGGTCTTAAATGAAGTTCTCCGAGTCCGTTGTATCACCTTGAAACATTTAGTGCTGTGACACCAATTAAGATGTCACATTACGTCAGGGTGAGCCAAAACATTTGTGCAGCTACAAAATCTGCCAATATTTGCGCATCTATTGCCTACCGAAGAGAACCAGTCTAGGTACTAGACTCATGGAACATCGGAACCATGGTGAATTGCGAGTAAAATAAAAGCTTGATAGAGTCCCTGGGGTGTAAATTATTACAAAAATATGAATTCCTGAACAACTCTAAAGTGATAAACTCACAACAGATCTGCTTAATAGAGCCGAGAGATTTGAGTGAGAAAATTCTCAGTCCATGAATCCCTGTGATTGTAACCCTGAAAACGAACAGTTTGATTGCGTTATGAAACCCTTGGATAAGATAAATTACAAAATGAAGCGCGAATGGGATAATGCTCTGGCAAGTCGTTTTATAAATATCGTTACCTTGTGGGCAGTAGTGATATAAGTTGGGAGAGCGTTCGTTGAGTAACACAATCGAAGTGAAAAGAAAATTCCACAAATTCCAACGGGTTAAACTGAATTATCAGTTTCAAAGAGTGGTCTCTTAGTTTGCTTAGTAATTCAACTCTAGTAGTGGATAAAAAATGGGGTTCGAGTTATTCAAAATCTGGTAAAATATTAGGAGGTAGCGTAGTGTCACACATTGAGACGGAGTGCACTCTGTTTAAATGCCATATATGCCCAATGATAATATGGTTATAAGTTAGTCAGTCGGCTAAAATGTTGTTGGCTCTTTTCATAATACCCGACCTACTCTGTACACCGTGTAGGTCATATAAGTCTTCAGCATATATTCCCATGAAATACAATGCTCCAATATAAGACGGCCCTGGCACAAGCCTTTCTATAGGCTGCTATACATTCCTATGGAGTTCAATCTAAGCTGCTAGGTCGCAAAGAGGAGCCCCCTGAAGTCCTTATTTGCCCTTCCTTGAGAAGTCTCGACAGCAAAGAGATCCTCTTTATGCCA